ACACTTACTGTTAAGGATCATAGGATGAGGAACTGCAGTCCATGAAAAGCACTGAAGGAAACGCCTTCATCCAAAATGTATTGATTAGACAATAGCAAGAAGAGCTTGACAGGCCGTCTTGACAGATTAGAAAAACGAAAAGAGTAAATCATGTTCTAAGTGTGGCTGTTTGTTGAGGGGGCTAGGGTGAGGATGATGGCAGGAGAAGGACAGCTGGGAAGGCGAGGAAGGGATAATGGAGGGGGGAAGGGATGCATCAAACAGAAAGTCCTCCAACTTGTCAGCTGCTTAGGAAGCAGGGCTTGCTGGGAGGAACAAGAAAGGTATCAAATCATCGGAGTCTTGCTGCTAAAGAGGAAAGAGATGTTGAACAGGCTTGAAGGGTGAGCCTTCACCTGTCTTCCTTACTGGCCTCTCTGATGTATTGTTGTTGTTCCTTTGCCACGGAGTCCATTCCAACTCATGGTGACCCCATGTGTTCAAGAGTAGAACTGCTCCGTAGGGTTTTCTCAGCTGTAATCTTTTCAGAAGCAGTTCACCAGGCCTTTCTTCCACAGAGCCGCTGGGTGTGTTCCAACTACCAACCTTCAGGTTAGCAGCCGACTGCAAACCCCTTGCACCACCCGGTCTCCCTCTGATATATTAGGGGGGAAAAATCAGGAAATGTGCACTGAAGCTTTTGACTACAGAGCATGAACACTGAAGCTGAAAGACAACGCGGGCAGAGCTCAGGACTGGAGGGACGGCAGCTGCCTGACTAGGGCAGTCCTGGGCCGCAGCAATCGCTCACCCTCTCTGGGCCCTGCTTCCTGATTAGGAAGCAGAGGCCACATCTGCCCACCCCACAGGGTGGTGGAAAGGACCGAGCACCTCCTTGCCCAGGCGGCTTTCCTTCTTCCGCCGGGTTAACCTGCGAAATCCCGAAATTCGGCTGAGGCGGCACATGCTCAGGGAAGCCATCCCGGACCCCCAGGGCAGGTCAAGTCCCCTGGTTTTTGCTCTGATTGTCCCTTGTGCTCCCTCTTTAGAACCTTTGTCACGATTGCTCATGGATTTGTGCGATTGTTTGATTTGCTATCTCCCCATGGCAACGTGAGCTCCGCTGGAGAAGGACCGGGGCTATTTGCTCTGCTCCCACGTCGGCAGAGCCCAACATGGCGCTGCCACGTATAAGATGCCCAATAAATACTTGTTGAATGAATTAAACAAAACAAAATAAATCTTTTAATATATGAATTATGGCAGCTTTAAAACGTAGTACATGGAGCAGCTATTGGTAGTAGTTTTACTTATTAACTTCTTTAAAAATAGAAAGGATCAAGAACATTACTGAAATTGTGTTCAAAGTGAAGCAACTTGGGAGACATGTATATCTTCATGACACTATTAATATTTGCTCTTCTTAAAACCCAAGTTTTCCTTTCCTTTTTTGATTTTTTTATCAGTCAAAAGGAACTGACTTTAGAAACACAGCCAATTTCAAATTCTGTAGGCAAAAACATCACAAATGTCGTTTTATTACCATTAACTTTTTCTTCAATTATAAAACGTTGGCACAAACGGGCAGGGTCACACTTGCATAAGATTTATAAATGCACCTTGGTGACAGTGATTGAAATATACGTGCTGCAATGAATGGGGTTTCCTAATAACTTTGAGTCCTTTCTCTCCCCTAAGAAGACAATACCCCTGCGTAAGCAATTTCCTCCCTCAGAATTTGCTGAATCATTTTTAGCTTACCTTTCCTTACTTCCTTTGCAATTTAAGTAAGATAAGAAACTGTGAAGATCTCTGGAATGTAGGAAATACTGATGCTAATCTTGTTTTTCAGACAAAGATTTTTGTGGTAATCAAAATTTGTTTTCCACTTTTTTGGTTTCTTTTGAAAAATACTTCAGATACAGTTTGGAATTCTTCACAAGTTTTAGATAAATATAAATGTCTTTGAGAGTCACAAAAATTTCATATATCTTTATAATAGTTTAGACATCTGAATGTCTAGTTTAGACATTCTGTCTGCGTAAACTTGGAACTTTATTATTTAATGAGAAGGACAATCACACTTTCATTCAATTTATCACCTACAAGTTTTCTTAGTCTTGGGGTGTGGTTCTAGGATTCTGTGGACAGCACTCTGAACTAGCTTGTTGCTACAAGGGAAGATGAATGAATCCTTTCTCAGAGAAAACTCAGCTTCAATATGGCAAATTATATTTTCAAAGATGGCCAAAGACAAAGGCTCTGGACGGTTATGGACTGAATTGTGTATCCCAAAAATGTTGTAAATCCTAACATCTATGCCTGTGGTTATAATCCTATTTGGGAATGGGTTGTCTTTGTTATGTTAATGAGGTGGGATTAGTGTACAGAGTATCTTGAGTCAATCTCTTCTGAGAGATAAAACAGATTAAACAAGGGAGCAGAGCAGAGAGGGGGTAAGATAAACGCCAAGACACAGGAGATCTCCAAGAAACTCGGAATGAAACAGAAGTTTAAGAGACAAGGACCTTCCTCCAGAGCCGACAGAGAAAGAAAGCCTTACCCTAGAGCCAGCGCCCTGAATTAGGACTTCTTACCTCCTAAACTATGACAAAATAAGTTTCTGTTTGTTAAAGCCACCCATTTGTGGTATTTCTGTTGTAGCAGCACTAGATAACTAAGACAGGGAGGTTTTGTGGGATAGAAGGCCCAGGTGTCCTCTTCCTCTCATTTCTTTCACGATGCATTATAATTCAACCAGATATTGCACCAGATCATTCCTTGTATTTTATCTGAGAATATGAGAATTTTACAGACATACACACACACACACTCTTGCTTCTTTGGCCTGCAAAAGGTGGGTAGACTTTTACTATCTTTTTTTTCTTGCTAACAAAAATAAATGCTTTCTGCAGAACAAGTTCAAGAAAATAATATTGCCATCTGTCTTAGTTATCTAGTGCTGCTGTAACAGAAATACCACAAGTGGATGGCTTTAACAAAGAGAAGTTTATTTCTTCACAGTGAGGTAGGCTAAAAGTCCCAATTCAGGGCGTCAGCTCCAGGGGAAGGCTCTCTGTCTGTCGGCCTTCTCATCAATCTTCTCCCGGACTAGGAGCTTCTCCCGTGCAGGGAACCCTGGGTCCAAAGGACGCATTCTGCTCCTGGCACTGCTTTCTTGGTGGTATGAGGTCCCCCACTCTCTGCTTGCTTGCCTTTCATCTCTTGTAAGATAAAAGGTGGTACAGGCCACACCCTAGGGAAACTCCCTTTGCATTGTATCAGGGATGTGACCTTAATAAGGGTGTTACAATCCCACCCTAATCCTCTTGTACATAAAATTACAATCACAAAATGGAGGACAACCATACAATACTGGGAATCATGGCCCAGCCAAACTGATACACACATTTTTGGGAGACATAATTCAATCTATGACAAGGGGGATGCTCCAGTAACTGACTTTGTGACTTTCATCATATGGCCTGACTTAGTTATATCTATCTTGGACAAAAGAAAGATGACCTCCTTCTCTAGCACCTAAATTGAATTAATCTGTATGTCCATTCACTTTTCTAAAAGGTGAATTGTTTTTACCTTTGTCCTTCTAACTCATTTGTCAAATTTTGCTCCATTCAAGAGTTGAGTCAGACACAGACAAAAGAGCAGTGATATAACATCTGCATATTCATAACTAGAAGATCTGGAGGTCACCCAGTGCCTTTTCCCTAATGGCACATTCAGTTATGTCTTTATACCCCAATGACATTTCCCAATTACACAAAAAGCTAATGCATTAAAAACAAAAGGATGAAATCAAAACTACAATGATATACCACCTCAATGCTATTAGAATTGCAATGATAAAAAAAAAAAAAAAACCTAGAAAACAACAGGTGTTGGTGAGGTTAAGGAGAAACTGGAACTCTCATTCATTGCTTGTGGGAATGTAAAATAGTACAGTCTCTGTGAAAAACAGTTTGGCAGTTTCTCAAAAAGTTGAACATAGAACTACCATATGACCCAGCAATCCCAATCCTAGGTATATACCTAGAAGTGAAGGCAGGAACACAAACATAAACCTGTACAACAACGTTCACTGCAGCATTTTTTACAATAGCCAGAAGGTGGGAACGGCTGAAATGTCCATCAACAGATGAATGGATAAACAAAATGTGGTAAATACATACAGTGGAATACTACTCAGCCATAAAGAGTAATGAAGTCCTGATGCATGCTACAACATGGATGAACCTTGAAAACATCATACTGGGTGAAATAAGTCAGCAGCAAAAGGACAAATACTGTATGATCTCATTTATATGAAATAAGCAAATATATAGAAACCAAAGATTATTATTTGTTACTAGAGGCAGGCACAATGGTGGCACAATGGTTAAGCACTCAGCTGCTAACCAAAAGGTTGGTGGTTTGAACCTACCCAGCGGCTCCATGGGAGAAAAGACCTGGCAATTTGCTCCTGTAAAGAAACCCTACAGGGTTGATAGAATCGAATCGATACAACAACAACAACAACAGAGGTAGGAAAAAGGGGGCGAGGGGCATTTTTGCTTTGGAGACATTGAGTTAATGTTAATGATGGTGGAATGATTTGAAAAAGGATAGTGAGGATGGGTGCACAACTTGAAGAATGTAATCTGTGTCACTGAATTGTACAAGTAGAGATTGCTGAGATGGTGTATGTTTTGTATATATTTTCACCACAAAAAAAAAAAAAAAAAAAAGGAAGGCCCATCTCTATACACTGAATTAAATTTTATTTTAAAAGGTAAAGCTTTATATATTCTTTCAAAAAGGAAAATTCAAAAGTCTTAGGGTTAATTACAAAGCTGTTTATAGCAGTAATTACAGTAGTGGTAACATTTTGCCAGTGTACAAATATCACAGAATTCAAATCACAACTTGGATCCTTATGACTCAAGTGTTTTATCCCACACAATAAGGGTTGGTCAGTTTTAAGATACAAACTCTCTGGACAGCCTATCCTGGGTCCTTCATTATCACGGTCCATCAGGTAACACCATGGGGTAGCTGGCTGCAGTGGCAATTCCACAGTGGTTGTTCTGGTCTTTGGCCATCTTTACATAGCCATTCGTGCCCCAACTTGTACCCCAGCTGAAAGAAGAGTAGATTTTCCATTTTATACAAAGAATCAAATACATCTTAGGTTTTTTTAATAACAGTAGCTAATACTTAAATAGTGCTTACCATAGGTTTGGAAACCCTGGTGGTGTAGTGAATAAGAGCTATGGCTGCTAACCAAAAGGTCAGCAGTTTGAATCCACCAGGTGCTGTTTGGAAATCCTATGGGGCAGTTCTGCTCTGTCGTATAGGGTCGCTGTGAGTCGGAATCCACTCAATGGAAACAGGTGGTTTTTTTTGGTTTTTACCATAGGTTAGGCACTATTCTAATTTCCGTGACATATATTTATGAATGTATTAACTCCTATAGGTCCTTATCTTAACTTTATATGATAAAAAATTGAGGCAGAACTGGGATTCCAATGTAGTAGTCTGTATCCACAAGCTATATTATGCAACATCGCAAAGAACTTAAGTTTTCAAAATTGATTCCGATAATCCTCAAGGCCTCTGAGGGCTGAAAAATAAAATGCAACGGCAGGGCATCAAAGGATAACTGAAAGACACACAGAGGCCTTTGGACTCTCAGTCAATCTTTCAGACTTAACAGAAAGACTCAGAAAAGGCAGATGTTTCTGCTCATTATACTTTGTTGAAAAATCAGAGAAAGAAAAAGGAAACTAGCCCTCAACCATACAGGTCCACAATCCTTTATTTGAAACCCCTGGGACCAGATGTGGTTCTATAATAAAAATTTCAGAATTCAGAAATGCAATGTTAAAAATATAATATTAATACTCCTAGCAAGCTTGGTACAGGATCTTATACTCAAACATTAATATTTCTGTGTCCACTCTAAGTGGGAGTAAGACTGTACAGATTTCAAATTGAGCTAAAGAATTTATGGACCTGTATCCAAATACTGATTCCAAACAAGGATCCCCTTTTCCATTTCAAATGTAAGTATAATAATTGGTGTTTTATACCTGTTCTTGACAATCCAAAATTTATTGTTTTTTGAATCTTTTCCTTCAAAGCCATAGCCAACCAACAGAACACCATGATCCAGGTCTTTGCTGCTGCAGTCTGGCTCATAATAAATACCTGGAAGAGAAAAACCCAACATTGGGTGAGAAGCTCCAAGTTATTGTGTGACAGTAAGGCAGCCTATTAACCAGGGTAAGGGAGGCATCTCAAAACTCAGTGAAATGTCATAAGCAAATTCCTGGCTTATTTGCCAAAATAATGACTAATAAAAACAATGTCAACCTCAAATAGAAATTAACAAAATTCAAACTAAGTCCAAGATATTATTTTCTACTTTACAAAACCCCCCACAGATTTCCAAAAATAAGATCTATTGTTGTCAAGGCCAAGGTTACCTAAGACACTCATCTACTAGCTGAAATACAAATTAGCAAAATCCTTTTGTACTCCTAGGATGTCAGCCTAAGGAAACAACACAAAACAAAAAAATACTTGAGTTACAGGATTCTTTTCAGTCCTAATTATAGTAGTAAAAAACTTTTGGAAAAATAGGTCCTAATTATAGAACAGTTAAGTAAATTAGGCTATATCTACAGAATAAATTACATAGCCATTTAAAAATATATATGAAGAGTTTGTCCTCATGGGAAAATGCTTAAAGTATGTCAAATGGAAACATCAAGTAAAAGGTAGCATTTACAGTATGAACTCAGCTATGTTTAATGCACACACTGCAAATTATTCATGTGAAAGGAAGATTCCATACCAAAGAGTCAGTCATGGTGGTGTGTTTTCCAATTCTGCCTGAATTTCTATAATAAAAATACAAACATCTACCCGATTTGTAGAACTGGAAGGACTCATGGCCTGCATCAATAGCAACAGAGATGGGACCCACAGTTGCTACTGCCTTCATCAGTGCCTTCTCCCGCTTAGGGATGTCCACGAAGCCAGTGTCATTGGCAGCAGAATATTCAGGCTTGTAGTTACAGGTATGTGTGTCCTGTGAAGGTAAACAGAAAGGCAACAAGACTACCACCACCCACCTTCTGGGGAAGATGAGTTTTAGGACCACAGACTCAACACTTTGCAACTTAACGATTTCCAAGTCAACTTTGTTATAAGTAGCCCAGGAAATGAACTGCTATTGGTTGGTTTGAAATTGGAAAATTAACTGGTGTCTCTTCAATGAGATCCCCTAGGACCACCGCCCATATGAAATTTTTTACTAAGTTTGTATTATATGTAAAATGATATGTATATTCTCCATGTTACATGAGATAAGAACAGCTATATGCCAACCATCTAATCAAAGAATTGTGCAACGGCTAATAATTGATAATCACTGTTCTGACAGTTGCAGATATAGATTCTACCATCTCAAATGTGAATGCTGAATATCTTTTATCTCTGAAAGTGTTCAACTTCCCAAAGGTAGAGCTGGAATGAAAGCAAGATATCCCAAAAACCAAACCCACTGCTGTCGAGTTGATTCTGACTCATAATGACCCTACAGGACAGAGCAGAACTGCCCTATATGGTTTCTAAGGAGCAGCTGGTGGATTCAAATTGCCGACCTTTTGGTTAGCAGCCGAGCTCTTAACCACTGCACCATCAGGGCTCTGAAAGCAAGATAAGGAGCTCCATTTACCGTTGCGAGATATGGATAGGATTCTTCTGAATCAAGGCCTCCGTTGTCCTTAACGTACTGGAAAGCATAATCCATCAGGCCACCATTGCAGCCATTATTGCCTTCAGGCCGAGAGCAGTCAACCAGGTTCTGCTCACTGAGTGAGACAAGTTTGCCAGTTTTCCGGAACATCTGTCCTTCTAGGGCACCAGTTGCACTAAAGGCCCAACAAGAACCACACTGACCCTGAAAAGGTAATTTCAAAAGTTGTCAGTTCATAAAGTAAATAGCAAGACTTTGACAACAGCTCATATATCTGAATACTCTGGGGGGAAAACAGTGAACTGCATGTCACTCTATATAGTCTAGCAAAGCAATGAGGTCAATTCCTTTTTGTCTTTACTATTTGAGATCTGAATCTGAATCATGACATACCTGATTCTTCACAGGAGTCACATAGCCTTTCTGAGTCCAATCCACAGATTTGGGCACCTCAAGAAAGAGAGGTTCATAGAACATCTTCCCCTTCTTGTGTTTCTGGTTTTGAAAGCCATTCATCACCTGCCTGAATTCTTCATTGGTCTTCAAAGAAAATTAAGTAAAATGTTGAAAAAGCAAAGGATTATTTTGCTAAAGCATTGAGGAGAGGAAGTGCAGAATTAAGCCATCAATAAATGCCACACTCACCATGTCACCAAAGGCATTCATGGCCATTGTGAAGCCATGTCTTCCTTCACTGTATTCACGATTGTGCAGTTCAATCATCTTCATATTCTTCTCCCATACTGCTCTCCTCCAGTCTTCTTCATGCTAGAGGCAAACGTAACCGATCGTCTTTATTTCCACACAAAACCCAACCCTCCTCACCAAGTGGATCAGCAGATGGAAGAGAAACCACGGCCAAAGATAGCACTGTGCCTCTGGGCACTCTCCTTCCAGCTCCGACACAGTAGGGATGTGCATGCCCACACTGCACTCAGGAGTAGGCACCACGAAGTTCAGCCTTGGTAAGAGCTGGCCTCTAGGACAGAGTAGCAGGGGCGGGGGTCTGGCAACCATGGTTACAGGGGACATCTAGGTCAACTGGCATAACAAAGTTTATTAAGAAAATGTTCTGCATCCTACTTTGGTGAGTGGCATCTGGGGTCTTAAAAGCTAGTGAGTGGCCATCTAAGATGCATCAATTGGTCCCAACCCACATGGAGCAAAGGAGAATGAAGAACACCAAAGACACAAGGAAAGTATTAGTCCAAGAGACCGAAATGGCCACATAAACCAGAGACTTCATCAGCCTGAGACCAGAAGAACTAGATGGTGCCCAGCTACCACCAATGACCGCCCTGACAAGGAACACAACAGAGATTTCCTGATGGTGGAACATGAGAAAAGTGGGGTGCAGAACTCAAATTCTAGCAAAAAGACCGGACTTAATGGTTTGACTGAAACAGGAGGGACCCTGGAAGATATGGCCCCCAGACTCTCTGTTAGCCCAAAATTAAAACCATTCCAGAGGCCAACTTTTCAGACAAAGATTAGACTGGACTATGTACGTATGAAACATACAATGATACTCGTGTAGAGTGTGCTTCTTAGCTCAAGTAGATATATGAGACTAAATGGGCAGCTCCTGTCCAGAGGCGAGATGAGAAGGCAGAGAGGGTCAGGAGCTGGTTGAATGGACATGGGAAATCTGGGATGGAAAGAAGGACTGTGCTGAGCAACTAGGGTCACATAACAACGTATGTATAAATTTTTGTATGTGAGACTAACTTGAATTGTAAACTGTCACTTAAAGCACAGTAATGAAAAAAAAAAAAGAAGGAAAAAAACAAACAAAAAAAAGAGTTGGTCTCTACAAGTTCCTATCTGGCTCCCAACTCCCAACCAGCATGGACCATTCTCTCTGGGGTCCCTGTGGACAGCTTCAGATGTTACCAACCGCGCCATATGGTCTCTTGTTGGTTGACTTCCACCGGTACCACTGTGCATCTAAACTTTGATCAAGTTTTAGAGCAGCTGAGGCTATACCCAAGCAAAGGGCAACCAGAAAGAGTGAAATATTCATATTTCAAAAACCTAGGAAGGGAAAAGAAATGAGTATCTGATTAGCCATTTGTTTTTTAAAAGTCATCTCATTCCTTCCTGAAAAGTCACAGCCACCAAGATGGAGTGAAAACATTTAAATTATCTTCTGAAGTATTTATGAAGACCGTAGAAGGCGGCTAAGGATCTCGGTTGAGAAAAAAATACGTCAAGGACTTACCAAACAGCGGAAGTATTTGATTCTGCCACCAAATGAAAAGCAGACGGACAAGTGCTGTAGGAACTGAAACAACTGCAACAATGCAATGATAATTTGTTTTGATAAGGGTCCCCCAACACTTTATGAGTCAGAATCAGGCAATATCTAGGAAATGGTTGGTCAAGGTTATTTACCGACAGTACCGAAGTTGGCCAAGGCAAAAATCTATCAGGACGTCTGATCCCGAGTGGGGGTAAGGGAATTCCCAAGATTTTTGATTGAACCCCATACCTATCTTCTTGCCTAATATACAGCAGGAGCAGATACATGTATTCAAAACTCCCCTTCTTTTTTCTCCCCGAAGCCTTCGCTTCTTGATTTGAAACCTTTCCTGCCATCCCCACACTTGGACCTGTGCCGCCAACGCCCCCCCGTCCCTCCCTAACCCAGGAACGGCAGTCGCGTGGCTGCCCCGCTGGAAGCCGGAGCCCCGCACTGCCGGGGCGGGGGCAGTGAGTCCCGGGCTCAGAGCCTCAGTCCAGGGCTGGGCCCGGGGCGTGCCAGGCCTGCTCCCGCCCCTCCGCTTCTTTCCAGGGTGTTTACCAAGGCGCAGGAAGCGCCGGCTCCTCACCGGGCGCGTGAGGTCTATCTGCCTGGCCCAGGGACCGCGCGGTCCGGGGTGGCCCAGCTGGAGGACCCTGCTCGCTCTGGGACCCGCCTGGGTGGGTTCAGCCTCCCCAGGCCCCCGAGCCGGAGCCGACAGGGCGTGGGGGCAGTTCGAATCCGACGTCGCCAGCCCCGGGCGGACGCTCTTGTCCCGGGGTCGCGCCAGTCCCCACAGGGGTCCCTCCTCCAGGCCCTGCCCCCGCCGCGCGCCGCCCTAGCCAGGGAGCTCACCTACAGAGGCTGCAGGTGGTACAGGTGCAGTCAGCACAAGCAAGTATCGGGGTCACTGAAGACCAAGGTTGCCAGGGGTGGTGGGCTCAGCCTTTAAAGCTCGGAATTAAGGCCGGGCCAGCCCCTCCCACACCGCCTTCCCACCCCGCGATTGGCTGTATCGGCATATGGGCGTGGCCCCGGGGCCCCGTGACTCCTGGACGCGTGATGCTGCTCAGTCCTAACTTGTCGCCGGCGGGCGTGTCTGCCTCAGTGGACTCCGGGGGCGTGGTTGGGGAAGGCGAGGTGGGAGTCTTCTCAGCTCAGAGGAGGGGTCGGATGCCTTCTCTGGGGGCTCAGGCGAACTAATTACCAATTAATGCGCTCGGCAGTTATGGAAAGAAATGTCAGTCGAAACACCCTTGTCCTTTTGTTCTAGAGTGTGTTGTATGTATTTTTTACCACGATAAAACAAACAAAATACTAGAGGGCCGAGAACCAGTAAACTATTTATTCTTGTTTAACCCAAAGCAGAGTCCAGATGGTGGAATACAGACCCCAAGGGCAGGAGCATTTCCTCCCAATTTCAGGGTGGATGCAGCTGGGTTTTAGAAAAGTTCGGCCAGGAAAGTCAATCTCCTAAACATGATCAGTTGTCAAGGCCTAAATCCCAGGAGGAAAATGGGACTGGACTGAGTGGGTCCAGACTGGGTGGCGTCTTGTGATGCATCTTTTCCTGTCTTCTTTAGTTTTAGGGGTTCTCTTTCCTCACAAGCCTTTCTCAAAACCACCAGAAATGAGTTATTTACAGGGAAAAAAAGGTATAATAAAATGGAGAAAAACATGTGAGAACAGTGGAAACTACTTTTATTTCTCCACTCTGCATTATGGATATTTGTCTTCCTCGGTTTCCAAAATGTGCTGCTTTTGAGATTTAATTTAAGAAATTTATTTTAATGACATCTTATGTCAGGATTTAAATTATCCAGTTTGAGAAAATGTTTTAGACGGGGGGGGGGGGGTGGAATATATCTATATGTATGGCTAAGGATTTAAGGAACTCAATCCAAAAACATTTCTAAAAGTTTGGTTTTTTTTTTTTTAAATACAAGAAACATATTCATTGTACAAAATATCTTTTAGAAAAATGAACTCATCTTACTTCTTCCCCTATAACCCTTTTTTATGGATGTTGTTGTTTGGTGCCCTCCAGTTGTTTCTGACTCATAGTGACCCTGTGTACAACAACAACACACTGCCCCGTCCTGGGCCATCCTCACAATCATTGTTATGTTTGAGCCCATTGTTGCAGCCTCTGTGTCAATCCATCTTGTTGAGGGTCTTCCTCTTTCTTGCTGACCCTCCACTTTACCAAGCATTATGTCCTTCTCCAGTCCCTCCTGATAACATGTCCAAAGTATGTGAGAGAAAGCCTTGCCATCCTTGCTTCTAATGAGCATTCTGGTTGTACTTCTTCCGAGACAGATTTGTTTGTTCTTCTGGCAGTCCATAGCATATTCAATATTCTTTGCCAACACCATAATTCAAAGGCATCAATTCTTTTTCGGTCTTCCTTATTCACTGTCCAGCTTTCACATACATATGAGGCAATTGAAAACACCATGGCTTGGTTCAGGCACACCTTAGTCCTTAAAGTGACATCTTTGCTTTTTAACACTTTCGTATCCAACTTATTTTTTTTACGAAAATGTACGTCAATTTGTAAACTCCTTTTACCAAAGATTAAATTGATAATCCTTCTAGAAGCACAATCACACAAATATTTTACAAAATCAATATATTCAAAATTTCATTTCATGACCTTCAAAGAAGTAGAAGCCTTTCTTTCTCAAACATGACTAGGGGCTAAAGCTCTTAGGTGGTTACAAAACCAGCTTTTGTAAATGACTGGAGCTTTTTTCTATTTTTGGTTTTTAAATACACCATGGAGTTCCACATAATCGTTTAAATGTGGAAATAAATGAAGACCACCTAAATGAGAACAAAGGCTCTATATCCAGAGCTCGCTTTATTTAACAAGGGAGACAGCCAGCATCACTTGCAAGTGGTGGAGACTCAAAGGTGGTCAGGGAAGAAGGAAAGCTTTATAGTGAAAAAAAGGGAAGCTTTGGGTGTACTCTGACTGGAGGTTGTTGGCACAGGGATATTCGAAGAGGGCTAACTAGAAATGGGTCAGCTGATTTGATTGGTTTAGGGGGCAAATTCAGCTTCCTCTGGATCGTTCAAGTTTCGAAAGTGCGGGCAAAATAAGGAAGTTGGCATCCACTGAGCAAGCCTTGACTCTTTGGAGCTGGTTGCTGCAGAGATTGTGGTTTAACTTCTTTTGTGGGTCAGAGCTCTACTGTCATATAATGTCTGGCCATTGTCTGTTTGTTTACTCAGGCTATCACAGGAAATCTAAATTATTCTAACACTTGGGTTTCGTAGTTGCGCTTGGGCCACAGCTCCGTAAGATTGCATAGGGTGGTTATCGCGTCTGCACCTTGAGCAACTGCGTGGCAGGAGGCTGTGTGCCAGATGTGCTCCAAAGAATGTCATCCCCTTTGTTTCTTGGAATGTGATACAAATGCAATGGAGGAAAAATGGACTCTATTTATATCAAATACGCTCAAAATCTAAAATGAAACAAAAAATATCAAAATGCAGGAGAAATATGGGAATATATGCAGGGAGAAGGCTATTTAAGCAGAGTGGAAGACGTCATTGCTCCAAATCATGGCAACATCTATTTATGTCTCAAAACCAAAAAAAGCAAACCCTTTGCTATCGAGTCGATTCCGACTCATAGCGACTCTATAGGACAGAGTAGAACTGCCCCGTAGAGTTTCCAAGGCTTTAAATCTTTATGGAAACAGACTGCCACATCTTTCTCCCAAGGAGCAGCTTGTGATTTTGAACAGCCGAACTTTCAGTTAACAGCTGAGTGCTTAACCACTATACCACCAGGGCTCCTATTTATATATAATCTGTTACATAATGCATTATAAAAAGGTGGTGATGCTAACCATTTTGTCCCTTTTCCCACTCTTCTGTCCCCATTTCTTTGCAAAATAACTTTGATGAGTGCTAATTATTAAAATGCTCACATTTTAGTGAAGCACCCAAGCCTTAGCTCTGTTTTGATGATAAAATGCAGTTGGCAGAACTACCCAATTCCTATTTAAAGTGCCATATCTATGAAAATATATTCTTGTATGCATCTCCGTAGATTTCTTTTGCTCACTAGTAAGACAGGATATAATTCTTTACCTAGTCTCTGGAAATCGTAAGCTGTAGGGAAGCTAACAAACTAGTGTGGTGGCAATCAAGACACTTAGGTCACTTAACACCCTCCCCAATGTAACAACCCCTCCAATTTGTTTAAATCCACTGAACCCCGAATTACTATTTAAAAATGTTATCCAGCAAACTATCCGTTTGCAAAGTGGTTTATTTACCATTTATAATTGTTTGGAAAACAGCCTGTTTAAGATCTGATGTTCATATGAAACCACTTATGAAATAATTTTATGAGTTATTGTACCCTTGCTTTTCCATTATTGGGTCAGCCAGTTCATTAGGTAAGTAAATTAATCAAGCTTTTTTAAATTAATTAAGCTTTTTAGTTGTGTTCATTGTCGTTTGCTCAGTGTAGTCTGAGCATTTACTTAGACACAGTTAACAAGTGACTTTCCTAGCAGCTTTTCTCAGACTCAGTCATTTTAACGTCTGAGATTAATCACTGTAATCTTGGTTTTACAGCAAATGGGCACAGGCCATGGTAGATATATTTAAATGAGATAATGGCAAAGCATGTTGTGAGCTGACTTTATGGAATTTGTCCCTACCCTAAGACTATAATCCACAACCTCTCTTTTGGATTCCAGAGGATCTCTTCCTCAAATCTGAAAAAGTCTTTTCAAGAAACATGGTGTATTACTTTCCTAGGCTGCTGCAACAAATTATTACAAATTTAGTGGCTTAAAAACAGGCATTTATCCTCTCACAGTTCTGGAGTCTGAAAGCATTATCACTGGGCCAAAATGAAGGTGTCAGCAGGGCTGTGCTTCCTCCAAGGGCTCTAGGGCAGAATCCATTCCTTGCCTCCCCCAGCTTCTGGTGACTGCTGGCTTCCTTGGCTTGTGGCTGCATCACTTCAGGTTCTGCCTTTGTGGTCACACTGCCTTCTCCTCTTCTGTATCAAATTTCCCTCTCCCTCCTTCTTATAAAGACATTCGTGATTGCATCTAGGGTTCACCTCGATTATCCAGAATAATCTCCCTATCTCAAGATCTTTAACTTAATCACATCTGCAAAATCATTACCATATGAGATAACATTTATGGATCTCCAGGATTAGGGCCTGATATCGTTGGGGGCCATTATTTAGCCTACTACACATGGCATCAATAAAAATCAGTCCCTTGAGGAGGCTGAGCAAAACTTTGTGCTTGGCATAACTTTAGGTTGGCTTGACTAGGACAGGTAGGCCCTAAACTCTACATGAATGTTCGTCACTGTAACTTCTTTGCTTCATCTCAGGCCCAGACACCCGCCTCAGGTGCTTGACTACAGACATTTCCTGCTTAGACATTCCGATTATTGCAGTGTTTGACACAATTTAAGTTTTTAGCACCTTCTTCCTCTTTCCACAGTCACCTACCCCACCGTGTCTGCGTATAAAAGCTTTGCTCAACCACTCCTTCCCTTTGATGTTTCTGGTTTAGGCTTTGAGCATCTCTCTATTGCTATAGTCCCAATTAGTAAAGTCTTTCCTTATTAATGTCAGACTTGCTTTTTTCCCCCCTGTATCATTATGGTTAAGACAGAGAAAACCTTCGTGCAGTTATGAGATTCAGCTTGCACACATATCTGCCTTGAGGATTGTTCCAGAGGAAGGATATCTCAATCTGAATGCCTGGTACTCTTAAAGCATTATTATCTGAAAAGATTCCTGTAATGATAGTGCTGATGATTATGATACTAATAGCTAAATAGCACTTAAGGGCCTGGCACTGTTCTGAGCATTTTCTGCATGTATTT